GTGCCTGTAATTTTGAGCCACGCGAATAACGTTTCTGATTGGCGCCCAGCCAATGCAGAAAATCGGCTACGGTAAAGGTTTTACCATCGAACGCTACCACCCGTGCATCGGCATTTTTGATGTTTTGCGGTTGGTATTGGCCACGCAATAAGGTTTCATCAACCTGGGCAAAAGCCTGCTCAAAGTTGGCCGGGTATTCTTTAAAACCGTATTCTCTCTTTAAACGCTTTATTACACTCTCGCGGCTCTGTTGGGCACGAACATCGCGCTCTACCTTGTTTTTCAGCTCCGCTTTGGCCTCAGCAAAAGCTTTGGATTTGGCCGGCTTCACCAACTGAATAATGTGCCAGCCCACCGGGGTTTTTACCGGTTCGCTAAAGTCACCGCTGTCTTTCAATGCAAAGGCCGCCTCTTCAAATTCGGGATACATTTTGTTAATGCCGAAGGGTTGCAAAATGCCATCCTGCATGGCCGATGTTTTATCATCACTGTATTGAGCCACTAACTTTCTAAAGTCTTCGCCCTTTTTGAGTTTTTCATGTATTTCGTCAATCCGGGCTTTGGCGTTTTTGCTTACTTCCTCCCCAGAACTTTGATTGTCAATGAGCATAATATGCGCCACGGTTATTTCTCCACGAGCTTCGCGTTTGTCGGTGGGTTTCACCAGGTGATAGCCGTATTGACTGCGAACCGGCTCAGACACCGAATTTACCGGGGTTTGGTAGGCTGCACTTTCAAAGGGATAAACCATATTGAACACGGTGAAATAGCCCAGGTCACCTCCGCGTTCGGCACTGTAGGTATCGTCAGATTCGCGTTTGGCCAATTCAGAAAAATCAGCTCCGTTTTCCAGTTGCTCTTTAATCGACACAATTTTTTCGTAGGCCGCAGCGGTGTCGGCCGGGGTGGCTTCGCGCGGAAGTTGCACCATGATGTGCGAGGCGCGCACGTCATATTTCCCACGTTGGTAAGCTTCGCGAATTAGCTCTTCCGTAACCTGCTTATCCGACAGGTAAGGTTGCGCCAACTGCTCGCGGTAACTTTGGTATTCCTTCTGGAAGGAAGGCAGGGTGTCGCGGCCCAATTCTTTGGCCTCATGTACTTTCAGCTTAAAATTCACGTATAAGTCGAGGTACTCGGCTGGGGTTTTAGGATCAATTTCCTGCCCTACATCGCGGTTTTTGTTGTAAACGGCCATGTATTCACCGGCCGTTATGGTATCATCTTCAACGGTAAATAAAACTTTGTTAGCCAAAGGTTTTTCCTGGCCAAGCGCTACAATTGTGCAGAGGCTTGCCAGACTTGAGATTAATAATCGTTTCATTTATTGAGATCTAGTTTTACTTTCTACTGTAGTTTGGCGACTCACGGGTAATGTGAACGTCATGCGGATGACTTTCGTACACACCGGCCGCGGTCATGCGGGTAAATTTGGCGGTTTTCTTTAAGGTGGCAATGTTTGGGGCGCCACAATATCCCATTCCGGCTCGCAGTCCACCGATAAACTGATACATTACCTCCCCTACTTCACCTTTGTAGGCAATGCGCCCAACGATTCCCTCCGGCACCAGCTTTTTAATATCGTCTTCTACGTCCTGGAAGTACCTGTCTTTCGAACCTTCTTGCATGGCCTCAATGGACCCCATGCCACGGTAAGTCTTGTAGCGTCTGCCTTCGTAAATTATTGTTTCTCCGGGCGCCTCTTTGGTGCCGGCCAGCAAAGAACCGAGCATCACCGAATCAGCTCCGGCTGCCATGGCTTTCACTATATCACCGGTAAAGCGTATGCCACCATCCGCAATTAGCGGAACATCGGTGCCTTTAAGGCCCTGCGCAGCAAACATGACTGCCGATAGTTGAGGCACTCCAACACCGGCCACCACGCGCGTTGTGCAGATGGAACCAGGGCCAATACCCACTTTAATGGCATCGGCACCGGCATCGGCCAGGTACTTGGCGGCATCAGCGGTAGCAATATTACCCACTACACAATCCAAATCGGGAAACTCTTGCTTTACCTGCTCCAGGGCTTTAACCACGCCACGGCTGTGGCCATGGGCGGTGTCAATTACTATGGCATCCACGTTGGATCCCACCAAGGCCCGAACCCGGTCGAGAATATCGGGCGTAACGCCCACCGCGGCAGCAACCCGCAAGCGTCCGTAATCGTCTTTACAAGCATTGGGTTTAATATGAAGCTTGGTAATATCGCGGTACGTAATGAGCCCGATAAGGGTATTGTCTTTTTTAACTACCGGAAGTTTTTCAATTTTATGTTCCTGCAGAATCACTTCTGCCTGGCTGAGGCTGGTGTTTTCATGGGTAGTAACCAGGCCCTCACTGGTCATGATTTCTCTTAGCGGACGATTTTCATCCTTCTCGAAGCGCAAATCGCGGTTGGTAATTATGCCAATCAGTTTCTTTTGATCGTCAATGATGGGAATGCCTCCAATTTTGTAATCGCGCATCATTTTTTGCGCGTCACTTACCAGGGCATTCTGCGGAAGCGTTACCGGGTCTAAAATCATACCGCTTTCCGCACGCTTTACGTTGCGCACTTCTACCGCTTGTTGCTCAATGCTCATGTTTTTGTGAAGCACACCTATGCCGCCATCCTGGGCAACAGCAATTGCCATTTCCGATTCCGTTACCGTATCCATAGCCGCTGAAATCACGGGGGTTTTCAGGGAAATGTTCCGGGTAAATCGCGTGCTGATGTCTACATCGCGTGGTAAAACTTCAGAAAAAGCAGGTAAGAGTAAGACGTCATCGTAAGTATAGGCTTCACCTATAATTTTTTCATCAAAGTTTGACATAGAACAGCGGCAATTTCGTTTTAAATTGCGTGCAAAAATAGCAATAATAAATAAGAGAGAAACCGCGCTTTCCGTAGCTATTCAAGAGAATTTATTGGCCCATGGCCACAGGCTGTACAACAGCCATTCGCATGCCTCGAAAGCTTCAACTGAAAAGAGTTGATTGGGGGCAATCCGGCCGTTGGGCCGTGCTCAAATTTCCCGTAGCCATCAAAAAAAAATCCGCACCCAAAAGGTGCGGATTCAATTTACAATCAATGGGCTTTTCTGCTATCGAATTAAAGAGAAGTTGCCTCTTTCCTCTATCGATTTATCGCCAGGCGTAGCGTATTTCACGTAATAAATGTACACCCCTTGCGGAGCCTCACCATCGCCATCGGTGCCATCCCATCTTTCGGTGGGGTCGGTGGTATCAAATACCTTCTTGCCCCAGCGGTTCATAATGTAAAAGCGGTATTCATTCACATCACCCAATTCCATACTGGGACCGTACAGGCGGTTTTCCGGAACGTTACTATTGGGGCGGAAGGCCGTGGCCATATAAATGCGCACCTTTTGGTTTACACAACTTTCGTTGGATATGGCCGAATATGGATCGCCCGTATTGGTGATTAGTGGGTTGCCCGTTTCTACTGCTTTCACATAGTAGCAGAATTTGCCGTTTTCGGGGTTGGCGCGAATAATATCCTCTATTTCAAAGTCAATAAAGGTGGTATCATCACCCGCGTTATCGGCTATTTTCTGGTAGTTGCCTCCTTCCGCAGTAGCGCGGTAAATCTCGTAGCGATCAACGGTACCGTTCCAGCCCATATAACTTGGCCAGGTTAAACGGTTGGTGAGATCTTCTTTGGGCGAAACCCTTAGCACCATGTTTTTAGAGATATTACTTACCGTATCTCTACCGCCACAACTATCGGTGGCCGAAACGCGGTAGTAGTATTCCAGGCGTTTGGGTTCCACTCCAAAATCTTGAAACTCTATGATGTAGGGCGGACTTTGCGGCTTAGAGATGTTGGCTATGGTACGGTAGGGGCCCAACAAGTCTGGGGCGCGCTCCAATTGATAGCTGCGTACATCGGCTTCACCGTCCACCACAATTTTAAGATCCAGCGCTTTTCTTCTGGGGTCATTGCTTACGGAGGCAATGTATAACTCGCGCGATTGCTGCGGTACTTCTGCCTGCACACAAAGTTCATTTGATGTAGAAGTAAGGCCCGCGGCCGTATCAAAGGCCTCCACCACGTAACAGTATTGATAGCCACTTTGCAGGGTGGTTTGC